AATACAATCTATACAATCAAAACATTTTTACTGGGCTTTTTAGACGTATTTTTAATCCAGTTATTGCAGTTCTTCAAAAGCAACTTACGGGAAACGTGCCTTCTAAGTCAAGAACGCAACGTTTAAAGTTGTGTATATTAGTAAACAAGACGTTTAAGATCCATGCATTTAAAGTCAAATCTGTAATGTATCATTTGGACATTTGTTTTTCCACTTGATCTACTTCTTTTTAGCAACAGCTCAAGGGAAATCCGCATACTGGGTTCTCCATGACTCTTTTTGGAAAACAATCGGAAAAGTCGTACATTGCCTTCACCTCCGCTAGGTTTCCACAGCTTTTAGCTTGCCTACAAGTATGGTAAGTTACAATTCTGTTACATACAACAAGAGATCTGACGCTCTCAGTATACGACTTCGGCTCAGTCACAGTTACGGGTACTTGAGCAAGGATTTGTGCCTCTATAGTTGAACAATTGACCTTTCCACTTCCACCCGCGAAAAACGACGGTCTGGCGTCAGCGTGATCAAAAGCACCAAGTGAAAGAACCAGCAACAGAACAGCAGAAAAAGCACGAACGATCTAAATCAACCAAGCAGAGAAAAGAAAATGAAAAGTAAAAAGTAAAAAGTATTATTATGTGAGTCAGAACGATAATCATTTCATGCGAAAAAGACATATCCCTTTCAAACCTCTATTCCTGTTATTTTATCTTTTCTTGAGGAGGAAAGTGACAAGCAAACAAAGAGAATGCAACTATTGACGACATGACGACGATAATATAATTTGAATTGATTTATCGATTGTAAAGGCTATGACAGCTAAAGATTTTGCTCATTTTTGACGTCGATTTCCCATGCAGGCCGTGGTAGAGGCTACATAACTTGTAAATCAAATGATTGGAAACTTGTAAATCAAATCCAATTTCTCTCTTTTCAGTGTAGCCGAACAGTTTTGGAAAAAATATTGGGTCGAAAAATAAGAAAAGGTAGCCTAAGATCATACCTGTAGTACAAAGTTGACCATTTTATGTTTTGTACTTCTTCAGATTCTTCCAGAAAACAGATTTCTTTGAATCTTTACTCAAAGACAGGTGCTTATGCCCTCGCCATAACCTTTTATATACTCTCCATAAACCAAAAATATCTTTTTTTTCCCCCTGTTTCTAGGAGATTATCACCGGTTGGTTTCAGCGCTCCTTGGTACATTTTGACGCAATTGAATTTTATTTTCTTTTAGGTTACTTCAAGATAACAGCAACGCTAATTGATTTGAATAACTAAGTGTTTTAGGGGGAAAATTATCTTAAGACACCCTCTCGAAACTGAACGGTTATGGAAGTGGTATGAGATTTGAGTAAGTGTTCCTCCGTTGCAGTCCACTTTTGGAATAGTCTGTGTGTGTAAGGTATCCTTCAGTATTTAATAAGTTCGTCAAAACATTATCTTTCCATATTATTCTTTAGCTAAGAATAAAAATTTTGTCATTAAAAAGGACTTTTTCAAACCCCCATAAATACACAAGTTCTTTTCCGTTTTCTGTTGATCAGTCAATGAACCGTATGAAAGATTGGGCAGGTCAACCGTATCACTGAAACGGTAAACAAGATTGATTAAGCTGAAACTGCACGCTATTATTCCAACCATTGATGGACTTTTTACCCCGAGGCAATACCTTAATTATCTGTGACTTAGCTTTTTCGTTAATATCCACGACAACGAAGCTTAAATGTTAACCTTTTTTAACGTAGAGGTGACCAAGAAGAAAATTCTCCTTACGGTATGAGTATATTATTAATCAGGCAGGTTTAGACAATTGAGGGCGATTATCAACCAGGGAGTGCATTTTGATTAGAGACCAAATTCTGAAGAAAATTATTGAAAAAAAGGAAAGCACGTTGCTAGGCAAATTAATCCTGCGATCTTTGCAATTAAATTGCTCACTCCAAATTTACGAGGAAACAATATTTTTAACCACACAAAAGAATAAATGAGAACCCTTTCTCAGTTAGTTGGAACAGGTTTCGATAAAAAGCTTCCTTTAAGATTTGAATGCACAGATTTGATTAGCTGTGCATTTTGAATTCAGCGGAGAGTTAGCAACCAACAAAGCATGAAAAATATTGTGACGAAAGTTTCGAAGCCGCATGAGTGAAAAAAGAAAAATTTGCATATTCCTGAGTTAAACCGCCTAAAGCAAGCCACAAAAAGCCGTCGCAAATGGCGTATTTTGCTTGGCATCCTGTTAAGATTATCCACGAGGTGGTCTTTTGCTTCACTTTTAGCGATGAAGTGTACTGATGGGTTTGTTGCTCTTCGAACGATGGATCAGTAGCGGATAAACACATCTTTTTACTTGGGTTCTGGTTCCTTTTCAAAATTATTTCATCTGAAGTAGGCTATTTCCGCTTTTGCTAAGAATGGTATTGAGGGATGAAAGATACTTCGGGGCCGGTCTTAGTTATTGCTCCGTTCCCCGTGAAAATCATGTGATCAACCTGAAAACCCAAGCTGCCAAAACAAAGTCAAAGTGCTGCGTTTGCTCACAGTCTCGAAATGATGGATGGATGGAGTTATTAAAGTCCAAAACACTGCTATAGTAATGTCACATGTAAATGTAACTTTTATTTAAAAGTAGGGAGAGAAAATTACCACCAAAACGCTCAAGGTACCGGACTCAGACGGTGCTTGCCTGCGAAGGTTGACCTATTCAGAGAGTTTTGTGGCTATCACAAGAGTTGGAAACAAAACTTTTGGTTGTGCCAAAATGGAAGACATGTAAATTGTCGACATGAAAACGAGACAAGCATTGGCCAGCACATCATATTTCCTTACGCTTGAGGCAGAAGCTAATTTATATCGATTTTCAATTTGCTGCTAAAAAAGCTGACTTTTCAAGATAATTTTCTATAATTCTAAATCTTTTTATCTTTTATTTTATATGTTTTTCAGTCCAGGGAAGCATGTTATTAATTTTTTCAATTTGCTGCTAAAAAAGCTGACTTTTCAAGATAATTTTTTACAATTCCAAATATTTTTATCTTTTATTTTATATGTTTTTCAGTTCAGGGAAGCATATTATTAAGAATTTCATTTATGAAAATTGGAACTTTGAAAGTTTGATCAGTTTCCACAAAAAAAAATGGAATGGAACAAACTATATTCAAATTTGGCAACAAAGTATGTTTATTTGCATCTCTGTGCTCATCTAAAGACAATTATTCGTGATCATAGGTCGCCAATAATGTTATAGCTTCAACGTTAAATTTTCTGGACCGTACATTTATTGATTACTATGAATTATAATGATAAGTGTTATGCTACTAGAGCTGTCATCGAATTGGAGTACGCAGACATGGTCGAATATCTCTAAAAGCAATTACAAGTAGGGATTCGAAAAATATTGGAAAGCTACGCAAACACTCTTCTCTGTCTTTGTTTTCAAAACTATCTCAAATTCTCCCAGTGCCTTGGTGTTCATTTACATAAACAGGAAAAAAGTCCCATAACATTGGGGAATTTTCGACAAATCATTCCCACGCACCTAAGCGATTCGTCTACTTACGCACCAGCCTCTGTGAAGTCATAATTTTAAGAAGTTGCATCAGTAAGTTTTGCATATGTTTAGCAAACTGAAGGAATACATGACGTAACCTCTCAGTTTAAAAGGTGTGTCGTTTCTGCCTTTTAAGTTTCACTTTCGTTTCTTGTTACCCATCGAACATTTTATCTATGAGCCACGTTGTTCGGAAGATTGGGCGTCCACTTCCTACGTCATCAACAACAGATAAATTACATTGTTATCCAACTGCGCAAGGAAGAGTACAAATACGCGGGAACAGAGTACAAATATCCTGGGATATTGTACGGTTATCTTGACAGTTGGTTACTTTGTGTTGTAAAAATACCTTTTTAGCCAGTCGGCTGGGCGCGCAACGCTTCTCTAACCGCTTTCCTTTTTTCGCCTTATGGGAATAAGGCAGCATAAAAACTTGACAGAAAAAAAAAGCAGTTGGATAATAAATAACTTATTAGACGTTTTGGTGTGAAGTGTCGCTGAGTATTTTTATTCGTTATTTGTATTTTGACTCATCCTACGTGTAGAGTGCGTGACATGTTTTGTTGAGTTCATGAACCACAAAGGGTGTCGGGAAAAAAAAGAGAAAAAGCATGTGCTCGGAGTTTTCGAATAAATACAACCTTGTGTTTAATTAATCTGGTGATTTGAGTGTGTAACATTGGCGACCCCGCCAGGATTCGACCGAAGAGGCTTATCATCGACGAAGAACTGCCTTGGGTTGTGAAGGACAAAGTAATTGGCACGCTTGGTTGATTCGTCGAGCGCGAGTTGGTTGTGGTCGATTGCTGTCGACGGCGGACTGATCTTGACGTAAAGTGTCGCATTTCTTTTGTGAACGGCTGATTGCACTATTGGTGAGTACGAAAGATTATTTTTGGAAGTATGATGGATACCGAGAGTCTGCAGATCGAAATTCAGGCCGCGTTGTGTTCCTTGAGCGAGGAAAGGCTTAAAGAAGTTTGTAGTGGGCTGAACATTACTGTACCGCCTGAGAGCAAGGGAAGGTTGGTTTTTATCCGAGCTCTAAATAAATACCTCGAAACGGAAGAATTAGATAATGAGAAGCTCAAAGTGTTGTCGTCGTCTCTAAGTATGCAGGGAAAATTTGTACCGGAACAGAAAACGGAACCGCCGAAAGCTTCTGAAAATAGTAAAGCGACCGTCAAAATAGAGCAAAATCCCGTGGTGTCAATTTCAAAATTCAAACGCGACTTCAAGATTTCGGGCCAGATTGGCGACGTGTCGCAGAATGATCGTTTGAGTTTTTTCCTCGCTAGTGCATCAAATTGAGAATGGTTTAAAGAACGACTATACAGAGGATGAAATTAAAGAGGCTGTGATAAAAGCGATAAATCCGGCGTTAAGCCTAAGAAGTTATTTGGAGGGTAAGGTAGATTTAACACTGGCCAAATTGAGGAGAATTATGCGTTCTCATTATCAGGAGAGAACAGCAACCGAACTATATCATCAGTTGAGCTCAACTGTACAACAGCCAAAGGAAAACCCTCAAGAATTCTTGATCCGCCTTCTCGATTTGAAACAGAAGATCTTGTTTGCATCTCAAGAAACTGACTCGGACCTGAAATATGATCCTACCTTAGTACATGGCATGTTTGTCCATAGCTTTTCCCTTGGCCTGCAAAGTGAGAATATCAAGATCGAAATGAAGCCTTACTTGGAAAAGAAATTTATAAGCGATGAAGAACTATTCGAGAAATTAAATGTGTGTTTCAGTGACGAACTGGAGCGATCACAGAAATTCGGTTCACAGCTAACCCCCCAAGGTAAATGCTGTTCAAAAGGGAGGGGACAAGCAGGAGACAAAGAATAATGGGGTGGAGGAAGGTCTCATGAAAGAACTAAGGAGCTCAAGGCAGAAGTGGCCGCAGTCAAAAGAGAGTTCGGGCCCCACTCCGGGCTCAAACCCCCCTCACACAACAGCCTATGAGACAACCCCACTGTGTAGGACCTGCCAACAAAGTGGGAATGGATGGCCGTGCAACCATTGCTTCAGGTGTGGGGGCGAGGGCCATTATGTACGCGAGTGTAATGCCCAATTCAGCCGACGCTCTCCGGCAGAATCTCAGGGAATGGCCAGAGGTCACGCCCATGGGACAGGGTGTGACCAGGCAAGAAAATCAGTCCCGTTACGTGCAGTGTGGAAAACAAAGCACAGACCATGTACCACTTAACCGCTGCGGAGCCTGTAAGATCAATAGATATTATTCAAAAGAATGTCAAGTAAAATACAGAACTGTGCATAAACCAGTTTGCATGGCTATACAGGAACTTGAGAAACAGAAAGCAGCCGGAGATGATGGCGATGATTTGAACACGACGTTTCTCTGCCACCTGACGCCAAGGCAGCAGCTCGGACTGACAAAAATCGTGGGACGGAGGTGCGTGGTAAAATGCCTAATTCAAGGAAAGGAAGTGGAGGCATTATGGGATACAGGTTCCCAGGTTTGTGTTGTGTCAAGGAAGTGGCAACAAACTCACTTACCGCTGGAGGTGTTAAGAAATGTTGAAGAGTTGTTGGGAGCAGGAGAAGAGTTGAATTTGGAAGCGATGAATGGGACAAACATTCCATTTGACGGTTGGATTGAGGTCGGGTTTAAGTTGGCTGGAGATGATACAACTGCTCATGAGCTGACAGTTCCAGTACTGGTGGGACAAAAGGAACAAGAGTACCCAATCATTGGCTTCAATGTTATAGAAGAAGTCCTCGCTCAACATGGTGGAAACCACCAAGCGGCAAGTAACATCATTCAGCAGTCATTCCTTCAATTCATCATACTCGCGTAGGTACCCTGATCAATCTGATCCAGTCAAGAACACAGGATACCGGTACTGCAGCTGTTAAAGTCGGAAAGAGAGATGTTATGCTGCCAAAAGGAGAGGCAACGACAGTTAAGTGTCAAACTCACCTCGGACCAGTTCCAGAGGGGATGCCAGTAATATTTGAGCCCAAGGAAGACAGCGAGCTCCCAGACGGACTGGAATTGGGCGAGGAACTTACTAAAATAACCCCGGGAACCTCTAGTCACGTGGCCGTCGTGGTCCAAAACAATACAGACAGAAACATCTTGTTAAAGCGCAGAACAGAATTGGGCCGGATACACCTGGTAAAGTCAGTTCTACCAATTCCAAATACTCCCTGACTCGTACTCTCGAGGAGACGAGGATTTTACCCTGAAGCTACCTTGCATCCTGGTCAGGAACAAGATGGATGGGAGCCACCAGTTGACTTGAGTCAGCTAGAAGACAATGAACAATTGATCGTCCACGAAATGCTACGGCAAGAAGCTGGTGCCTTTGCAAGAAACGACGATGAGGTTGGCTGCGTGGAGAACTTGGTGCTTGATCTCCAGTTAAAGGACAATGAGCCAGTACAGAAGAACTATATCTCCATCCCCAAGCCACTCTATGGGGAAGTGAAAGAGTACTTAGAAGACTTGATTAATCGAAATTGGATCTGCAAGTCCCGTTCGGCTTACTCCTCACCCATGGTCTGTGTTCATAAAAAAGGATGGAAGTCTGCGACTTTGTATTGATTATCGAGAATTGAACAAGAAAACATATCCAGAACGACAGCCGATTCCCCGTATACAGGATATCTTAAATGGCCTAGGCGGCAACAAATGGTTTACAGTTCTGGACCAAGGGAAGGCCTACCACCAAGGCTTTATGACAGAAGAAAGCCGCCCCTGACTGCATTCGTGACCCCTGGGGATTGTATCAATGGAATAGAATACCGTTTGGGCTAATGAATGCACCGGCGGCATTCCAAAGGTGCATGAATGAATGTCTAGATGGCTTACGTGACAACATCTGTATTCCCTACCTGGATGATGTCTTGGTGTATAGTAAGACCTTTGAGCAACACGTTCAGGATGTCCAACAAGTCCTGCGTCGACTGCAGGAACATGGGATAAAGTTAAAGCCATCAAAGTGCAAGTTCTTCCAACGACAAGTTAGATATTTGGGGCGGGTTGTTTCCGGCGATGGCTACTCTCTAGACCCAGAGGACACGGCTGCCGTACACAACTTGGCGAAACAGAAACCAGCAACAGTGGGTGATGTGCGTAAACTGCTAGGGTTCCTGAGTTACTACAGGCAATACATCCAGGATTTCTCACGCATAGCTAAGCCCCTGTACGATCTAATGGCTGGCCCTGATCGATTGGCTAATAATCATAAGGTAACATGGACAGAGGAACATCAGAAGCGGCTTGACATGCTGGTCGACCGACTGACTTCTCCTCCAGTGATGGCATTTCCCGACTTTACGAAGCCATTTGTACTTCACACAGACGCCTCGCAAGAGGGACTTGGAGCTGTATTGTATCAAGAACAGGACGGGAAGCTCAGAGTTCTAGGTTATGCCTCTAGGACACTAACTCCAGCAGAGAAAAATTACCACATGCACGCGGGAAAATTGGAGTTCCTTGCCCTCAAATGGGCAGTAACTGAGAAGTTCCGTGATTACTTGTACTACTCCACCTTCTTCACTGTTTACACCGACAACAATCCACTAACTTACATTCTGTCGTCAGCTAAGTTGTCTGCAGTAGGGCACCGGTGGGTGGCAGAACTGGCAGATTTTAATTTTAACATCAAGTATCGGCCTGGCAAATCTAACATTGACGCGGATGTACTATCCCGCCTACCGCTAGATTTCAGTGCATACATGGAAATCTGTATTGCAGAAATGGAAAAGGACGCAATTTGTGCAACAAGTCAAGCAGTGATCCATCAGGAAACAGACGCCACACCCTGGGTGGCAGCAGTTTCAGCAAGAGTTGGCATTGCTCACGCAGAACCGGGCGTCACAGATTTGGTTTTTCGCCAACTTACGTTAGAAGAAATATTAAGGGCTCAACGGGAAGACCCCGACATCTCACGAATCCTGGCCTACAAGAAACGGGGATATCCCCATCAGGAGGAGAGCGGAAAAATGAGACTCGTACAACATCTTGCTACTTGAGAGCATGGAATAAACTCCATATATCAGCGGACGGGATCCTGTGGCGCCAAACTAAGAGTCGATTGCAGCTAGTATTACCCACAAAGTTTAAACAGTTGGTTTACCAAGAACTTCACATTGAAATGGGTCATCTGGGTGCAGATCGAGTGGTGGACTTAGCGAGATCTAGGTTCTATTGGCCTTACATGCAAGAGGAAATCGAGTATTTCATCGCCAACAAGTGTCACTGCATCCAGCAAAAGAAGCCCCAAATCTCCCCTAGAGCACCAATGGAGAGCATTACGACGACTGCCCCTTTTGAGATGGTGTCTATAGACTTTCTTCATTTGGAGAAAAGCCAACGGGGATTTGAATACATTTTGCTGATAGTAGATCACTTCACAAGGTTTGCACAGGCCTACCCAACCCGAAACAAGACAGCACGAACGGTGGCTGAAAAGATTTACAATGACTTTGTACCACGATTCGGATTCCCAGCCCGTATACACAGTGATCAAGGAGGAGAATTTGAGAACAATCTCTTCCATCAACTACATAAGTTGTCTGGCGTTTCCAAGTCTCGCACCAGCCCCTACCACCCTCAAGGGAATGGGCAAGTGGAGAGGATGAACCGCACGCTATTGTCTATGCTGCGAACACTCCCAGATTTGAAGAAACGAAAGTGGGATGAATCACTCAACAAGATGATCCACGCGTACAATTGCACTAAGCATGAGGCGACAGGATACGCTCCGTATTACTTGTTGTTTGGAAGAACACCCCGCCTGCCCATCGACCTGATTTTCAATTTGAATCAAGAGAGTGCAGAGGGAGATTATAACACTTACGTCCAAAACTGGCAGCATGATATGAAGGAGGCATACCGGATAGCTCAACAGAATGCAAAGAAGACTGCCGAGCGCGGCAAGCAATATTACAACAAGAGAGTCTCAGGTGGCGTTCTTCAGCCAGGCGATCGGGTGCTAGTTAGAAACTTAACAGAGCGCGGTGGACCCGGAAAATTACGATCCCATTGGGAGTGCGCTATCCACGTTGTGGTTGAACGAATGGGGGCTCAAAGCCCAGTCTACAAAGTTAAGCCCGAGAGTGGAGGTGGCCGCGCAAGAGTGCTTCACCGGAATTTACTACTGCCTTGTGACGCTTTGGAAGCAGATGCCCCAAACCTGGGATTTGGTACGCGACCCCCAAAATCAGCAGTAGAGAAACGACCTTTGTCTGTTTCGGGAAATGACCTACAGAATTCGGGGAAAGATGATGATGATTTCGGTAGTGTGGACCTTGTAGAGGAAATACCTACTGAAGTAAGAACTTCAAACTCAGTGTCTCCAGGACGCGATTTGCCTTCAGAGTCAATTGAGGATTCTGCGACTACTGAGGGCACCAATGGGCCATCCAGCGAAATACAACTTGCAAATGAAGGAAGTGCTGACAATGACGGATCAGAGGGAGAGGACATTGCTGAGCAGGACATGTGGACTCGGCCGCAGCGCCAAAGGAGACCGCCGCAGATCTTAACTTACAACTCCCTGGGAAATCCACAGTACCAGTCGGCGGAGCCAGTATTCAGCAGTTCACGCGTTAACGCCATTCAAACTCCAGCTATCACAGCTATTCATCCGGGAATACCCCTGTATTTCTGGGTGTGGCCATGCTGTTTCCAACCTGTCTACTACCCGAGGGCTTGAGAGGAGCCTCTTATAAGACCCAAACATTAAAAAAAAAAAAAAAAAAAAAAAAAAAAAAAAAAAAAAAAAAAGAAAATCAAAAGCACGCAAGGTGCTGAAGGAGACAACGTCAAACAACAATTACAGTAGCTGCAGAGAACTCTGATAAATAGTTTTGTAATATTTAGAAGAACACTTTCATTTTCGGCGGGGAAGTGTGTAGAGTGCGTGACATGTTTTGTTGAGTTCATGAACCACAAAGGGTGTCGGGAAAAAAAAGAGAAAAAGCATGTGCTCGGAGTTTTCGAATAAATACAACCTTGTGTTTAATTAATCTGGTGATTTGAGTGTGTAACACGGGCTCGTCAGAACTCACCAAAATGTCTAGTAAGATATATTTACTCTCACTTTGTTAACTCGTTATACGCATGCATCGTATTGAATGCGATTATTGGATGCTAATTAAACCAAGAATATTTTGATTCAAGTCTAAAAAAAAGTCAGATACCTACATTCGTGGCAAACTTTTCATAGCACGTTGTAGTTGGAAATTAAAAAAAAAATTGTTCTTAACTGTTCACACGAGAACAGATAACATTTGAAACTAATAACGTGTTTGAATTTACCTTTTATCTTTTGATCTAAGCGTTATTTTCGTTTGATAAATTAGAACATATATTATTATGAAATTTTCCAGGGATCACATTTTATAATACGGTTCAGTTTTGGACACAATCGTAAACGACTGAGAGCATCTCGCCATTTGAGAAAGTTACAAACCTCACTTTCTCTTTACACTCCTTTTTTAATTATAATTATAAATAAGTCGATGATCAAACTTCTTTATACACTGGTTGTCCTGAGCACTCTTTGGAAACCTTTTCTTGAACTGATCAGCAATGACATGTTCTCCTTGGGTCGCTGAAGTTGAGTTTGTAGTTTTTTTCCTTCTCTGATTTTGCGCTGTTAATCATACGCCGATCTTGCCTCGTGTTGAAGGTACTTTTCTCTGAAGACTTCATCATCCCATGGAGTGGAGAGACTGGTTGCACTTGAATGCTAGAGTTCATTATAACTATGTACGGCGCCATGGAGAGTAACTGAATAAAAATACTTGAGGAATAAAAATAGTTAATTAAAATTATAATCCTTCT